ACAGCCTTGTACTTCAGATAGATCTTGAAATGTGCTTTTTTTATGACGAATGCCATAACGTTCCTCTTCAATCTGTCATTCCCAGCATAGCAGACTACGACTGTCAGATGCAAAATGGCCAATACCAGTCCATGTCAGCTCACTAATGCCTGCGATATCCATCTTCAAGCATTCCATTTCATTTTTGACAACCTCTAATTTTCCTAGATTCATACTTTGTACATTCCACGTTCCAGTTATTAATGGATGTTTGCAGCTGTTTCTTCTCATTTTGAGTTGGGCCACATCAGCAAATGAAGGTCCCAAAACCTTTACTCAATCCACGTCATTATGGTCGACTCTACTTTGAGGGGGCAGCTGTTCCCCAGTCATATCTGGAGTGCCTTTCAACCTGACAGGCTCATTGTCTGGCATTATATCAGACAATGTTTTGCTGTTATTCATAAGGTTTTCACTAGCCAATATTTTTAAGAAGTACATCGCCAAGTCCTTCTTCCTAGTCTGTCTTAGGCTGGAAGCTCCGCTGAAACCAGTCCACCATGGGCGACCTTGCTGGTATTTGCAATACCGGTGGCATAGCTTCTAGCATCACAGTTCGACAAACTGACAGACGAGTTGTGGGATGACATCATACTTGAAGAAAGCAAAAGGTTGTTAAAAAGATAGGAAAGAAGAAAAGACCAAAATGGATGTCAAAAAGACTATGAAACTTGTTCTTGGACATAGAGTTGCTAAAGTGAATGGAAGAAATGATGAAATAAAAGAGCTAAACAGAAGACTTCTGAGGGCAGCTCTAGAAGACAAAGTAAAGTATTATATTGAAATGTGCAAAGATCTAGGGTTGGAGAACCAAAAGAGAAGAACACATTTGCCAATTCTCAAGCTGAATAAACTGAAGAAAAAATTCAAGCATCTAGTTGCAATATTGAAGGATTCTATGGGCAAAATATTGAACGACATAGGAAGCATCAAAAGAAGATGGAAGGAATACATGGAGTCACTGTACGAAAAAGAATTAGTTGACATTTCAGGAGGTAGTATATGATCAAGAACTGATGGTAATGAGGGAGAAGTTCAAGCTGCACTTAAGGCATTGGAAAAAAATAAGGTTCCAGGAATCGAGGGAGTCTGAATTGAGATGTTTCAACAAACAAATGCAATGCTGAAAGTGCTCATCTGTCTATGCTAAGAAATCTGGAAGATAGCTACTTAGTCAACTGACTGGAAGAGATCCCTATCTGTGCCCATTCCAAAGAAAAGTGATCCAACAGAATGCAGAAATCGTTAAACAATATCACTGATATCACACGCAAGTAAAAGTTTGCTAAAGATAATTCAAAAACAATTGCAGCAATACTTTGTTAGGGAACTAGCAGAAATTCAAGTTGGATTCAGAAGAGGACATGGAAGGAAAGATATCATTGCTGATGTCCGATGGATCTTGGCTGAAAGCAGAGAACACCAGAAAGATGTTTACTTGTGTTTTACTGACTATGCAAATGCATTTGACTGTGTGGCTCATAAATTATGGATAACATTGCAAGAATGGGTATTCCAGAACACTTACAACTGTGCTCATGCAAAATCTGTACACAGATCAAGAGGCAGTCGTTAGAACAGAACAAGGGGATACCTTTAAAATCAGGAAAGCTGTGCATCCGAATTGTATCCTTTCACCATACCTATTCAATCTGTATGTTGAACAAATAATCCGATAACTGGACTATATGAAGAATGTGGCATCAGGATTGGAGGAAGACTCATTTAACAATCTGCAATATGCAGATGATGCAACCTTGCTTACTGCAAATGAAGAGGACTTGAAGCACTTATTGACGAAGACCAAAGACTACAGCCTTCAGTATGGATTACACCTCAACATAAACAGTACAAAAATTCTCACAAGTGGACCAATAAGCAACATCATGATAAACGGAGAAAACATTGATCTTGTCAAGGATTTCATTTTACTTGGATCCATAATCAATGCCCATGGAAGCAGCAGTCAAGAAATCCAAACAATGTATTGCATTAGGCAAACCCGCTGCAAAAGACCTCTTTAAAGTGTTGAAAAGCAAAGATTTCACTTTAAGGACTAAGATGCGTCTGATGCAATCCATGGTATTTTCAATTGCCTCAAATGCATGTGAAAGCTGAACAATGAATAAGGAAGACTGAAGAAGAATCGATGCCTTTTAATTATGGTGTTGGCAAAGAATATTGAATATGTTATGGACTACCAGAACAAAAAACAAATCTGTCTTGGAAGAAGCACAGCCAGAATGCTCCTTAGAATGGAGGATGGCAGACTTCGTCTCACATACTTTGGACACATTATCAGAAGGGTCCAGTCCCTGGAGAAGAACATCATGCTTGGCTGGGGGTTCAGCAAAAAATGGAAAATTCTCAAAAAGATGGACTGACACAGTGGCTGCAACAATGGGCTCAAACAGTTGTGAGGATGGTGCAGGACTGGGCAGTGTTTCATTTGGTTGTACATAGGGTTGCTATGTGTTAGAAGCGACTTAACGGGACCTAACAACTCATGGTAAAAGTGACTTTATATACCTTGAGATAAGGAGATTATAATGGATTATTTGGGTGGTTCAAAGTAATCACAAGTCCTCAAAAGTGGAAAAGAAACGCAGAAGAGTGGTTTACAGAGAGATGTAATAATGGGAAAAAACCAGGAGAGACTTGAAGCATGAGAGGGATGTGATCTGCTGTTGCTAGCTTTGAAAATATAGAAAGGAGGCTACAAGCCAAGAATGCAGGCGGTCTCCCAAAACTGGGAACACTAGCAAAGAAACAGGGACCTCAGTGCTACAACTGTAAGGGACTGAGTTCAGCCAATAGCCTGAATGAGCAAGAAAATGGATTCTCTCTTAGAGCCTCCAGAAAAGAACGCAGTTCTGCTGACACCTCGATTTTAGCCCAGTGAGACCCATACCAGACACCTGACTACATACGATAATAAATTTGTGTTGTTTAGGCCACTGTTTGTTAACTTGTTACAGCAGCAAGAGGAAGCTAATACAAACCACTTTCTGTGCTCTATCACTATAGAATAGTTTTATCGATTCTTGGACCATATAAATGAACTGTTATATCAGTTAGTCTGGCTTCTTTCATTTAACAATGTTTTTGCCATTCACCTATATTGTGTGTAACAGTAATCTTTTTTTTAACTGCAGAGAATTATTTCATTATCAATAAACCACCATTTATCCATTCTGTTGTTGATGGACATTTGGGTTGTTCCTAGTTTTTACTATTATCAATATGCAAAAGAATGAGGATGTTTTTGAGTATTTCAATTATGGAATAATCTCTTAGTGAAAAATAATGCATATATGTATTTGCTTGTATATGCATAAAATATCTGGAAGAATATGCTGTTATGTTGTTGTCAGGTGCCATCAAGTCGGTTCTGACCCATAGCGATCCTATGTACAATAGAACGAAACACTGTCCAGTCGTATGCCATCCTTATGATCGTTGTTATGCTTGAGCCCATTGTTGCAGCCACTGTGCCAATCCACCTTGTTGAGGACCTTCCTCTTTTTTGCTGACCCTCTACCAAGCATGATGTCCTTCTCCAGGGACTGGTCCCTCCTGATAACATGTCCAAAGCATGTGAGAAGAAATCTTGCCATCCTTGCTTCTAATGTGCATTCTGGTTGTACTTCTTCTGGAAGATATTAGAAACTGACAAATTGGTAGTTTCTAGAAAGGGGAGCTGTGTGGTGTCTGGATGACAGAGGTTGGGGCTTTTTACCATTTACTTTTCTGAATTTTACACCATGTGACTGTTAATTAGTAAAAAAAAAACCATGCATCTTATACTGATTTAGGGTAGAATCATAGTCTAAATTTAAGGTGAAACCAGAATCCTTTGGCTAGAGATACCTAATTATATAGCATTATTACTTTTCTACTGCAATTAGTTTAAAGTATGATCAATTATTACACATAAGGGATAATACACTTATATTACAAAAGAAGTAAAGTTTATTCTAAGTGGAAATCACAACCTTCCAAATTGGTAGTAAGGAAACACAATGATTAGGGACAAAGAGACGGGAGAGAGATTAATGTGTGTGGTAAACAACAACCACCATCATCATCATCACCATTCTTGGGGCAAATTAACTGTTTAACAGGCTTCTCTTTTAGGTATTATTTTAAACTTATTTGTGCACTTAACATCTAATTAATCTCTTGGGATGCTGATTTAAATAGAAAAAAGAGATAAATTAATGAAATCTACCTTTGAAATCAGGCTTGAACAAGAATGATTCCTCATCTTTATTTAGCCCTTTTCAACTTTCAGTTCATTTTCATATACATTGCTTCTCAAAACCTTGGGAAGTAGATTTGAACAGATCTTTATCATGATTTTATATATGAGGGGAAAAAAAAAGATACTCAGAGATGCTGATTTGCCTAAAGCCACATGGTCTGTATGAGCTGGAACCAGTACCTTGGTTCTCTCACTTCTGGAATTTCCCTGCTTTCCACCTGCACTTCTTTAATCTCCAACCCCCTGCCCTTTTCTCTCACCCTAATACCTCTCAATCACAGTTTAATATTTTTTTGCTGTTTATATGCATTCTAAGGGAAATAACGATTTTAGTAATGGTGCAATATTTATTGTAACTCACTGTAAACTTAAACAAAATTTAAATGTCTAAAAATTGTATTAAAACATCAATATGCAATTATTTTCCCACCACTCAAAAATTTTAATATGTATTGAAGATTCTGGACCAAAAAATGTGCAAAGAGAGTATCAAAATAACTTATAATAAATTTCTAAAACCTTCACATATTCAAAGTAGAAAGACAAAAATATGATTTACAACACGTGCCATTATGATATAGATAATAGTTCCCACAATAAAATTAATTCCTCCTACTTATCAAAATTCCTAGTATAAAAATGAAAATATTCAGATGCTTATAAATAGAAAGATAGCTATTTAAAAGTTTCTTTGGGACAACATTCTTTGGTGTTCATAAAACTGTATATATTACTATGTATTTATTTACTGTAGCGACTTTTCAGACTACACATTCAGTTAAATTGAAAATAAAATATAAACTAGATATTCATACAGAAAGTAGTTACAGTGTAAGTATTTTAATTTCGTGGTGCTCAAATGTTTATAGGCAAATTTTACTTATCAAACCTTAAAATAACTACCTATTCTTTGCTATTTAGTATATATTCATATATTCCAGAAATTAAAAAAAATATACACATCCATAGGTAGAGAATTCAACTCTGAGTTGACAATTATTTATCATTTTCTCAACTGGCTGCTCCACAATATATGGAGCTAAATGAAAAGATGAAAAGCCTAGCATTGCTTGATTACCAGCTTGATAAGCAGCTTGGGATACCAGACATATAACAAGCAATGGAATACTCAACTTTGGAGAAAGAAGACAAGTGAACGAATAACATGGACACACCTTAGTATAAGTTCTTTATCCTAATGAATTAATTATTCATTTGCAAATATTACCAAGAGTAAAAAATCTATTTTACAGAGTGACTGGTTTTGTAATACATCAAAAACCGTAATGTTATACTTCTCCATTCTCACTGCTTGTCTCGTATCAGTGGCTGAAGTTTCTCCCAAATAATTTAGTAGACATTTAAAGCGGCAATACGGATTCTACTGAATGGACTTGTTATAATTAGAAACCAGTTTTATATACAGAAAATCCATAAATATAGAATTTTTATTCCTATTTTATCCTTAGGCTATGCAAAAAATTGACTAAAAATTCGATTTTTCATTTGGATCTTGGTAATAAACATGTAAATACATATTTACACTGGAGATGCTTTCTGACAGAGAGTAAACACACAGGAGTAATTTTGGTCTTCACTAGATCCATCATTAGTTGTCCATTTTCAACATGATGTGATACATCATGTTCACTCACATTTTAAGATTATTTATACACATAATTCAAATAATAATTATTTTACTTGTACAGTTAATGCTTCATTCTGGATTTAAACTTCTTTTAGGAAAGATTTCTTGATCCAAGAATAGGAAGCTTTAAAAAAATTTTCAAATATGGTAAAATGTTTCTGTACCATTATGTGCAATTTTCTTGGTTCTGGCAATATTATAAATACTGAGTCATTTAATCTTCATTCTTCATACCCCAGAGGTAATTTCTGAGTTATCTCACATGATGTAAGTACCATCTTTGTAGCATTTCATGGACTCCATTTGTTTTGTCATAGCCAAAACATCATGAAATTCAGTACTTAGGCCAGACATATGTTGAAAGTAAGCCTCTTTTTCCACTTGAATTGTTAAATTGTTTACTCCAGCATCTTTGAGTATTCCTGTAACCTGATTATAAAAATCCAGACATTTAGAAGTATTTAGATTAAAAACATGCATGTGTTAATACATCTTACATAATTGATGTCATTTTTTTTTAATAGTTACAGATAGTCAAAGATAAATCCTCAAAGTAATATTATTTAGCTAGTCAAATGTTAGACAGGACCTTTCAGAAGGCTAGTAAATTACTGTTCCGTCATTCAAAGTAGAAAAGGAGAACAACTATTGTTTCCGATTGGGTTCATCCAGAATACAGACAGAGGAACTGTTCTGATCCCTTTCTCCAGTGGTAGCAAATACCCTATCAACTTGATTATTACTATTAATTTAGCTATATTTACAGTAACTTGCAATTTTATGCATGAATTACCTCACTTAAAATTACTTTAAAAACAAAAAGATTATTACCTGCTGCACTATTCTTTGTTCCAGCACATCGGATGTCACCTGTATATGAATTGTTCCTGCCACAACACTGGCAGAATGACGCCAAAAATGAGGGTCTCGGTATGATATTAAGCCTTCAATCTTCTGTATCTGTCAAATAAAAAGAGAGGTGATATATATAGTCCTAAAACTAAATTTGCTTAACGCATAGCAATCCTTTCGGCCTAGGAATCAGTAGTAAGTGGATTAAAAAAAAAAAAGAAAGTAAAAAGAATAGGAGAGGGACATACAGCTAGAAGTAAAGGTGCATATATATAACATTCTGACCTAGGAGTGATACCAGAGTAGTAGTTCTGAGTAGGAAGGTGAATGGGGGTTACAGGTGTCTTTACACCCAAATTTGACTATCATCAGCAGTCACACACCCATTTTCAACTATATAAAATATACTTTGTCTATTGTACACAGACATACCCAGGCTTCTCAAACATTATCTGGACATGTTCAATGAACTACATGATCTCCTTTACACTGATACACATATGTACATATTATTTGTTACACACAGACAGCACATTCAAAAGATACACTCAATGTTCAACAACAGAGGACTGGTTAAATGAATAATGGACTACCCATATAATACAACACTGTCATTAAAAATGTCATTAAAATGTATTATTTATCGATATAAAACAGACAAACATTTACAAAACAGTACAAAAGTTTTTTTTGCCATTTTTATTTAAAAAAAAAAACTACGTAGAAAAACAACTTGTAAAAGTGTTTCTTTCCACGTGGTAAAACTATGTATGTTTTTATTTATTTTCATTTTTTTTGACTTTTCTGTAGTTTGAAATTTTCTGTAGTGCACACATGTTACTTTTGAAATAAAAAAGTACATTTTTTAAAGTAGGATATAAAAAAAAAAAAAAACCCACACCAAACCTGTTGCTGTCAAGTCATTTCTGACTCACAGCAACCCTGTAGGACAGGGTAGAACTGCCTCATAAGGCTTCCAAGGCTGTAAATCTTTACAGATGCAGACTGCCACAACTTTCTCCCACAGAAAGCCTGGTGAATTCAAACTGTCAACCTTTTGGTTGTCAGCTGAGCACTTAATCAATACGCCAGCAGGGCTTTAGTAGGATATCAAACCCATTGCTGTAGTCGATTCTAACTCATAGTGACCTTATATGACAGAGTAGAGTGGCTGGTGAATTCGAACTGCTAACCTTTTGGTTAGCAGCCAAACTCTTAACCACTGTACCACCAGGGCTCCTAGTAGGATATATTATTTACTAATTATGAGGGAGTAGGAAAACTTACTAACTTTACTTATGAAAAAAGTGGGTTAAGGTGCTGTAGCATAAATATTTAAGATGTCCATTTTTTTTTTATCAGGAGATGACAATTCCTTTAATATATGACAAATCACCAGGCAAAAGACATTCTATTCTGTATTCTTTTTTCTATGAATTGCCTATTTATAGTCTTAGTCCATTTTTCTATGAGAGTGCCTTTTTTTCTTTTTAATTTACAAGATTATTGATAGGAAGCCTCTGTCTGTTTATACATCATTTAAATATTTTCTCCTGGTCTGCCTTTTGTACTTCATACTTGCTAATGGAATCTTTTGTCAATCTGTGGATCTGGCTTCTGGTTTTATTTCAAATTAAAAAGCCCTTCCTTACTTCCATGACTATATAAATACTATTCCATTTCAGTAGCTTTACTATTTTTTAGCTGTTTAGACATTTAATTCTCTGGGATATATTTTATATGGTATGGTGTAGAAATATAACTTTTCTTTCCCACCAAATAGAAATGTATCTGACCCAAAACTGGTTCACTAGGTCAACCCTTTCTTCCCACTCATCTGAAATGCCATCTTTACTATACACCTAATTCCCCTAAGTTCCTGAGTCTTTTTCTGGATGACCTGTTCTGTTTCTCCATTGGTTATATGTGTTTATTCCTATGTAAGGATCAAATTGTTAGTTTTGTTAGTTAATTCTGTAACTTTATAAGCACAAAGTATGATCTGTTAATGAATTTATCAATTCTGTAAGTAAGTACATTTTCTTGCTTATTCTCAGATATTAACTGTTCCAAATAAGCTTTAATACTGGATTATCACCCCCGCCCCCACCCCAAAACAAAAACAAAACAAAACAAATAAATCCCCATGAGAGGCAACTAGATTAAGATTAGAGAAAATCAACATTTTCACAATACAGAGTCTTCTCCAAGAAAACGTCTCTCTCCCTTTATTCAGTCCCTGCTTTATGTCTTTTAAGTAAAACTATTTTTTCATTCCTATCTTGCATATTTCTTGTTAGGTCAAATGTTTTTTTAAAACGGAAAACATAAATGGGCAAAGGCTATGAACAAACACTTCATCAAAGAAGACACTCAGGCTTCGGACAGACACATGAGGAAATGCTTGCGATCATTAGCCATTAGAGAAATGCAAATCAAACCTACAATGAGATACCATCTCACCCTGACATTACTGGCATGAATCAAAAAAACAAAAAATAACAAATGCTGGAGAAGTTGTGGGGAGATTGGAACTCTTATGCACTGCTGGTAGCAGTGTAAAATGGTACAACCATTTTGGAAAATGATATGGCACCTCCTTACAAAGCTAGAAATAGAAATATCACACAATCCAGCAATCTGTGTACTAGGAATACATCCTAGAGAAATAAGAGCTGTCACACGAGTAGACATATGCACACCCGTGTTCACTGCAGCATTATTCACAATAGCAAAAAGATGGAAACAACCTAAGTGCCCAGCACCAGATGAATGGATAAACAAATTATGGTACATACACACAACGGAATACTACCCAATGATAAACAAAAATGAATTTGTGTAACATCTCACAACATGGATGAATACGGACAGCATTATGCTAAGTGAAGTTAAGCTGTTATAGATTGAACTGTGTCCAAGATGTGTGTCAACTTGGCTAGGTGATGATTCCCAGTATTGTGTGACTGCCTACCATTTTATTATCTAATGTGATTTTCCTATGTGTTGTAAATCCTACCTCTATGATGTTAATGAGGTGCAATTAGCGGCAGTTAGTGAGGCAGGACTCAATCTACAAGATTAGGTTGTGCCTTAAATCAATCTCTTTTGAGATATAAAAGAGAGAAGCAAGCAGAAAGACAGGGGGACCTCATACCACCAAGAAACAAGAGCTAGGAGAATAGTGCATCCTTTGGACCCAGGGTCCCTGAGCTGAGAAGCTTCTAGACCAGGGGAAGATTGATGGCAAGGACCTTTCCTCAGAACCGACAGAGAGACAAAGCCTTTCCCTGGAGCTGGCACCCTGAATTTGGACTTCTAGCCTCCGAGACTGTGAGAGAATTAATTTCTCTTTGTTAAAGCCATTCACTTGTGGTATTTCTGTTATAGCAGCACTAAATAACTAAGATATTAAAAAAAACAAACAGAAAAAAACCAAACCCAGTATGCCGACTCATAGCGACCCTATAGGATAGAGTAGAACTGCCCCATAAGGTTTCCAAGGAGCGGCTAGTGGATTTGAAATGCCAACCTTTCAGTTAGCAGCCTAGTTTTTAACCACTGTGCCAACTAAGACATAACTCAATTACAAAAGGACAAATATTTTATGAGACCACTATCATAAAAACCCAAGAAAAGGTTTACACACACAATAAAACAATCTTTGATGGTTAGGAGGGAGAGGAGCGGTGGGGACGGTAAGTCACTAACTAGATAATAGACAAATGTCAACTTTGGTGAAGGGAAAGACAACACACCATACAGGGCAAGTCAGCACAACCTGACCAAGGCAAATTCATAGAAACTTCCTAGACACATCCAAATACCTTAAGCGACTGAGTTACTAGGGCTGAGGGCTGGGGACCATTGTCTCGGGGGACATCTAGGTCAAGTGGCATAACATAGCTCATAAAGAAAATGCTGATATTCCACCTAGGTGAGTCGTGTCTGGGGTCTTAAAAGCTTACAAGTGGCCATCTAAGATGGCCCCAATCTGCAGCAAAGAAGAATGAAAAAAACCAAAGACACAAGGAAAATATGAGTCCAAGGACTAATGGACCACTTGAACCACAGCCTCCACCAGCCTGAGCTCAGAACAACTAGATGGTGCCCGGCTACCACCACTGACCACTCTGTCAGGGATCACAATAGAAGGTCCCAGACAGAGCAGGAGAAAAATACAGAACAAAATTCAAAGTCACATAAAAAACACCAGACTTACTGGTCTGACAGAGACTGGAGAAACCCCTGAGACTATGACCGCTGGAAACAAGATAACTCAGAACTGAAGCCACTCCTGAAGTCCATCCTTCAGCCAAAGATTAGACAGGCCTATAAAACAAACTGTAACACACGTGAGGAATGTGCTTTTTAGTTCAATCAAGTGTATGAGACCGAATGGACAACACCTGCCCAAAAGCAAAGATGAGAAGGCAGGAAGGGGCAGAAAACTGGATGTATGGACGTGGGGAACCCCGGGTGCAAAGGGAAAAGGGGAGAGTGGTGACACAATGGGGAGATTGCAATCAATGTCACAAAACAATCTGTGTATAAATTTTTGAATGAGAAACTAATTTTCACTGTAAACTTTCACCTAATGCACAATAAAATTAAAAAATAAACAAGGAAAACATAGTGAACAAATTACATACAGTACCTTTTCTAAAGCAATATGTAGCTCTTTTTCACATTCTGGTGGCAGTCTCAGAAGTAGGACCTGACAGGCATCTTTAATCAGTGGGACAACACTGAGAAATATTAATACAGCAATAAAAAGAGAACAGAGGGGATCAGCAATGAACCACCCAAACTGCTCTATAAGAATTGTGGATACGATCACACCAATACTGCCAAGTGTGTCTGCCAAAACATGTAGAAATACACCTATGAATAAAATATATAAAAACATAAAAAATTAGGTCATATCTAATTTAGTTCTTTCATCCATTTTACAAATACTACTGAGTATCTACTATATGTTGCTATGATGCTGAACAGGTATTAGTGGGTTTTCCAGACTAAGACAGACTAGGAAGAAAGGCCTGGCAAACTATTTCTGAAAATCAGCCAATAAAAACCCCGTGGATCACAAAGGTCTGATCCCGATGGGCATGGGAGCAGTGCAGGACTGGGCAGCGTTTTGTTCCATTGTGCATGGGGTCTCCGTAAGTCAGGAACTGACTTAATGGCAGCTAACAACAACAACAACTATGTACTAGGCACTATGCTAGGGGCTGGTACTTTAACATGACTAAAACATGGCCACTTCCCCCGAGGAGTTCACAGTATAAAGGTAAAACGGTAAGTTACATGGGTAACTATGATATAGTGTGGTGAATTTTATGATAATACAGTTTATCTGGGAAGGTTTCCTAGAAATTACGCTTGAGCCAAGTCTTGACGTCACCCAAATCATTTATATTAAATAAGAATAAACAATCCAACATAATAAGTGATTAACATTTCCCCCATATTTTTTTACAGTACAATAAAAATGTCCCAGTTCTTTTGTAATGAAAGTTCATTATGGTACAGTCATTGTTTTCCTTGCGAATGTTTATTCAACTGCTAGAAAAGGACTCTATAATCACAATAATTTACTTAAAAATTGAGGTTTATGAACAAAGTATTTTCTATAGCAGATGACTTCGACCTCTTTTAGCCACAGATTGCTTTTTAAAAATAAAACTGTATCAGCTCAATATTTAATACAGATAAAAACAGAGAGGCTCCTCAGAACACAGTTGAAAGGCAGCATAGTACTCGGCAAGGACTCACCCCTCATGTTTGCATTCATGCCCCCTCCTGCAGATCCGTGACTGTGGCCGTGCCCATGGTCACTGTGTCCATGCATATGGTGTGAATGGCTGTGATCAGATGAGTGACAGCTTCCTTGAGAAGCTCCATGGCTATGGTTATGGGCATGGCTAAAGGCACAGATACCAGTAAGGTTTACTATCAGCCCTCCAACTGATACTGGCTAGTAAAGGGAGAAAAGAAGATCTTTAAATTTGTAATTTCTTATAAACTTGCTATTTAGAAGTTACTAATTACTATGTTCTTCTGTTTACAGTTTCAAAAGTACTGACAGAAATACCTCATTAAGTTCAATATGTAAATACAAAATTTAAAAAATATGAATTTTAGAAGAAACATTTTAACTATCAAATACCAAAAAAATTTTGACAAGCCAAAGTATACGGACTTGCTTTAATTACATGATTAAGACTAATACGTACTTGGTTCACAGCTTATGTACAAATAAATGATACTGAAGTTTTGTTTAAAGAGTTTGAAAATATTGCTTACTTAGGCAAGTGTACACTTTACCTGAAATCTTATTTATATTACAAGGTAAATTTCAACAGTTTGTAATGGGAATGATTGTAATTATTTAATAACACTCCAAGAGATAGTTACTTACTCTCGACTCTTTTCTCTTACAAATAGTAGCTTAGGGCGTTATTTAACTTACAAATATCTACAACTTCTCCTTTGGAGAAATCCATTTGTTTTATAAACAGAAAATATAAAAATGAAGGTGATACATAACTTTAATTACTTTCCAAAGGTAGTAAGAAATTTACTTTAATAAGCATTTACGGAGTTTATTGACTTTTTCCTGTGACTCAGACCATTTGTCTATCAGATTTAAACTTTGAGTTAGCTGTATGAGCTTGTAGATGGTTAATGAGTTTTAAAGTAAAACCAAATACTGCTTAAAAAAAAACCTGTTGCCACTGAGTCGATTCCAACTCACAGTGACCCTATAGGACAGAGCAGAACTGGCCCACAGGGTTTCCAAGAAACACTTAGTGGATTTAAACTGACGACCTTTTGGTTAGCAGCCATAGCTCTTAATCATTATGCCACCACGGTTTCCAGGAACCCCACAATCCCATTAATACTCCTCTCCCTGAGAAATACTTCATCTTTGTATATTACAGTATAGAAAATAGAAGTCTTCCATAATTCTATCACCATGAGTTAGTAACTCCTAAAAGAATGGTGTATTTTCTATGCACATACTAACATACATACATATACATGTTTTTAAACTAATCATAGGATCATATTATATATACTGTTCTATAATTTTTTTCACTTAGTACATATATATTTTTTCATGCCAGTATATATAAATATACCTCATTATTTTAAATAGCTTCACAGTATTAGGCTATGTATAGCCTTAAATTAAACTAGTGCCTTTCATTGATGGGAACTGAGCTGCTTCCATCTTTTTTTTCTTTTTCTCACCCTTACAAACAATGGTACAATGAATCATGCACCTCTACAGGCTTGAGTGAATGCCTCTGTATGATAAATATTAAATAAAAGTCAAAGGATATAAGCATTTAAAAGTCCAATAGATATTTCCAAACTGTACTCCAAAAACATTTTATTAACATATGCTTCTACCAACAAGATGTGTTTTTATTCGTAACTGCTTTTAGTCATTCTACAATTAATTGCTGATTTTCTACAAGCCAGGTGCTAGAATTTGAGAGTTAATGATACACAGTTCAGGTGCTGAAGACACATCTTTTTTTTACACTTACATCTTAATTGTGGAAAAATGACAAATGAAACAACAATTACAACTATAATGTTGCCAGAAGAAGAATGCACAAGATACAATGGGAATATGGAGAAAGAAAATCAAATTAACTTTGAGCAGAAAAGAGGAATTCAGGGAAAGCATCCAAACAGAGGAGACACATAAGTCTCAGAGGCTGAAGGGCAGAAGTGAGGGAAGAGCATTTTAACTATAAGCAGCACGTGTAAAGATAATGGAGGTTTAGGGAGAACATCACAAGGTCAAGGGAATGAAGGGCAAGTTGTTCAGAACGGGTGGAGGCCATTGGAAAAGTCTGACTTTGTTCTGTAACTAATGAAAAAGCAACAGGATTCCAAGCAGACAGTAACATGATCAGATTTGTGTATTTTAGGAAGACTACTTTATGATCATTGGATAGACTGGACACTGGAGGAAGAAGGATAATGCAGTTAGGGAGACTACTATAATGGTCTAGACAAGAGAAAACTTACGGAGCGGTTCTACTCTGCACATATGGGGTCACCATGAGTTAAGAACTGACTCAGTGGCAACTAACAACAACAACAACAACTGTGGAACCAGTCTACAAAGGGCCTTGAAAGTCAAATGTGTACTTAGTGCAGGAAGCATTAAGAAAGAAGCCTGCCAAGCTTCTCAGACAAACACTAACATGATAAAAATGAGTGTTTTAGAATGACTATCTATGCAACAATATATTGGTTACCTTAAATGGAAAAGAAGACTGAATTTAGGGAAAGTATGGTACAGGAGAAAAACCAGTAAAAATCTAGGTTTTAGTCTTGAGTCTATTACAGACTAGCTGTAAAATGTGAGCATTTCACTTCACCTTTGGACTTCAATTCTCTCATCTATAAAACAACAGGAATGGGATAGCCTTTAAAGTTCCTTCCATCTCTAAAATTCTCTAAGCCCATGGGTACTGCTTAAATTGTGGAGAGAGCTATTTGAAGGGGGCTCTTGGAACAAGCAAAGGAGTAGTGTCACTTTGCCCTCAGTACTGGACTGACAATGCTAAAGTTCTAAATGAAGGCTTCATAGTTTGGCCTGTGGTTCCACACCTCACTGAGAGGCAAGGTAAGAGAAGGGACAAGTCTTTTAAACTTAGCTTACTGTTAAGGCTTTAAAATTCTATTTTTTTCCCCAATTTTTTTTAATCCTTAACATTTTGCACATTTCCTCTGATATTTAAAAACACATCTTAAAACAAAAAACATTTAAAAGTCAGAAAAAACACCTTATGTTCTACAATGTCATGTAATTTTTTACCACTGAAATATTAGAGAAAAGGCATAAGAGTTAGCAATGTAAATGTAAATAGAAATTTACATTGATTTAAAGAATAAATAAAATTTCCCTATATCAATAACTACATGGAAAAAAAGTAACTATTATGAATACAAGTACAAATTCAAACAGGAAAATAAAAAGACTTACTGTTAACATGTGTGTGTCTAATTCTGGAGGATCAATCAATCTAGCCACTGACTCCATGAAAACAAAAAAAGCTATTACCATTAGAAAAAGTCCATTAATAAATCCAGAGAGAATCTCTATTCGGCCATACCTAAAAGAGTGGGATATATTTTTAGAAAAGAAAAATGACAAGTAAGTTTTAAAGTATAAATATTATTACTTTACACTTTAACAAGCCTAGATTTTCAAACTATATAAGTAGTAAGATTGGAAAATTACCAAGATTTTAAATACCTTACTAATGCTGGTGAGTCCTTCCAAACATGTATCTGTTTGCTGAAATTTTACATGTTCACTGAGATCCTTCCTCAATGTCCCCTCTCACACAAATAACTAGCAAGACGTTATTTCTCCTTACTTTTTCTCCTTACTTTAAACCCTTGCTGTGCTCTTTATCTTTCCTGACACATGGGACACTGCTTTATACCTAAATTATTTGTTATTTTCAGCTCATCCATTTTTCAAAATATAAACAATTGAGAATAAGAGCTAAATTTTATCGATCTATTCAGACAGGTCTTATCAAAATAGCTTGCACAAAACAGGGCCTCTAACGTTTGCTGAAGTAAATTATTGGCTTAATGAAAGGATATGTTCATGCATAGTCACTTCAAATTTTGAATACTCTTTTTGATGGCAAAGATGTGAATGATCATGCACATTTCATTGCCTTAAAAAAACATGCTGGGTAAGGATCTCAAGATTTTAACTGACTTTGTTCCATCTATATGAGGGATTTGTTAGGTATATAGTCTTGAGCTTACTGCCATTCAGTATTTATCTAATGCTTGGTTCATTTCCTCTTATCTACTTCAAATTGAAGAAATATGAAGCTCTGAAAAATTATCTGTATTAAAAGTAATAACATTTATTCCCTAAGATGAAATCTGCACTTAGGTTTTTTCACTGTGCTACGGTAGTCAGGGTACTTACTTACCCATAGGAGAAAATCCGAGTTGCTTTCCATCTACTCATCAGGGCAGCAAAAAGTCCCATGACCAAAGCAGAGCAGTCAAAGAGCATGTGAAATCCATCAGAGATTAGACCCAGACTATTGGTCAGCACACCATAGAATAATTCCACAAAGGTAAAAAGCTAAAAGAAAAACAAACAAACAAAAAAAAAAAGGGAGGAGTATGTTGGGAAACATTGTTCAATACAGATGTCAGAATTTAACCATGAGGATTTCAATCCTGAAATGCCCAATCTTATTTGAAGAAATCATGCAAGTCTGCCTCTTTGGTTACTTAACTGCAATTTATACTGGAAACCGCCTATAAATTTTAAGAAAGACTAAGCTAAATCGGGTATGTCCATCTTATAATTATAAGCTAATTATAAAGACAGAGTTTTATTCACATGTCTGTAATAATAAGTTAGGCTACAAAATGCTAGCAATCAGTGGGTCTGTACTGAGATCCTATAAGGAGTAGATAAAAATCTTTAAAAACTACTATATTTACTGATTTGAAATTACTTCTAAAATACCTCAAAAATTGTTTGCTTAAGTAGTCTGAAAATGGCCCTATTTTCTTGCTACTATGTACAGAAAATATTAATTTTATTTCATCTCTACTTAACAGAAATTTGGGAATTGCTAAGATTATCAGAACTGTCAAAATTAAAATAGTGAGCTGTTAACATACAGCACTAATATTTAAAAATCTTACCAGAGACACCCTTTTAGCTTAGTGGTGAAGTTATCTCCGAGGTTCACTGTTCAGCCTGGGAGTGGACAGCCCCATAAAACCAAATGAGACTAACGAGGTACGGTAGTCCAGTGACAAGGGCCAGAAGGCAGAAGGGGACAAGGAAGCTGGTGATAGGGAACCCAAGGTTGAGTAAGCATATTGTTGATGTGTTGTGAGACTGTTAACCATTGTCACAGGGCAACATTTGTAGTAACTGTTAAATGAGAAACTATTTTGTTCTGTAAGCCTTCATGGAAGAGCGTAGTCAATGTCACTGAACTGTGCATGTAGAAATTTTTGAAATGGTGTATCTTTGGCTATGTGTATTTTCACCAAAAAAAAAGGTTGAGAAGTTAGAGGGTTGACATGTTGTGGGGTTGTTAACCAATGTCATAAAACAATATGTGTACTACTGTTTCACGAGAAACTATTTGTTCTGTAAGCCTTCACCTGAAGTACAATTAAAAAAAAAAAAAAAATACAAAAAAGAATCTTACCAGATTCAAGCACAAGAAGTAAAAGATCTGCCTAGAATCACTCTCCTCCAGAATTTGTTTTAGTGATTCTTTAATAAATCTAGGGATGGACTGAGAGCTATGCTGAAAAGCATCACCCATGAAGTTATAAAGAGGTGTCCCTTCAGGAGAATATCCAATAAGGGTACCTTTCTGTCCTCTCTTAGAGGGAGATGATAAGATGTTGGCAGCTATGAAAGAAAAAAAAAAGGGAATATGACAAAAGTTTTAAAAATTTAAATTACCAAAAACCAACAAGCTGTCAACACTAAATGCAACCACTTGAACAATTTCCCAAACTAAGTAAATTATTTGAACATCAAAATCCATTAAAAAAAAATTGTTAAAAATAAAGGGAAAATGCTTACACAAAATGAAGAATATAGCGCTCACTACCACTCCTCCCGACAGGACATGTTCGGTGCTCTCCTGGTGTGCCGCTTTGTTCATAGCTCGAAGCTGATCTGTTATTGGATGTGTCCAAAAATTTCCAAAAAGAAGAGCACTAACAAAAATGGGAAAGGATCCATAGCGGGCACATTTGGAAACTTCCATTTTGACTGAACAAATGGAATCCACATAGAAGTCCAGGATCATAACAAAGAAGATAACCGTTGTAAAAGGCATAATGAGAGAAAACCAAGATTCAACTTTACTCTGAAAATTAAAAAAAAAAGAAAGAGAAATTGTTAATACTATATGGGTAAAAAGTTCACATTTTATAAGACGTTTTAGTTAATGCTTTTACATATAAACCAATATTCTCATGTTTCAACATGATTCCTGAAATGTCAAAAACATTACAAGACATTGACATTTTTCCAGTACTCCCCAAAGTATTAAAAAACAAAAGCATAATTATTTAATAAGTACATAAATACTAGCGACCTGTAATTCTTGTACAAAGAAATATGAGGGATATGTAAATCCAGTAGTATTTGATTTGTATTTTCTATGAACAATAAAATTAACTCCAAATATTTTTCAAAAACTATAAAGAAAAAGCAAAGATAACTTAACATCAAATTAAAATAAAATACAATGTAATGAACTAACATTTTTAAGTACTAGCAATCCATTTTACTCGTTACCAAAAAATTCTTACTCTTACCTCAGTCGTCACAGAAAGAACGATAACCCATGGACACAAAAGAAGGACAGAAACAAGATGTGATAAAGCTTGAAGACGTTTGGCTCCACCGACATCTATAGAGAGCTTTCTGGAAGCTGTATGAAAACCAACTTTACAACACAAAGCCAGTACTAACAACAACACTCCACCCTATAAGTAAAATGAGTTAAGTCTCATTAGAAACATAGTCCAATACTGAATACTTAAATATATTACATTTGAAGGAATGGAATTGTTATGTTTCTTTCCATAGCTCAAATTATTTAACATAACTACTTAAATGGAAAGGAAGATTATAAATTACTTACAATTTATTTTAAATGAACTTATAAACTTATAATTTCTGTAGATTTTCAGGATCTTTTGATCATGTTAGCAACAAAGAAAAGAACGTACCTTGTGATCTGCCACACCTAAGAAGGCAATGGCTGTGTAAAGCATGTGAGTGAGAGCACTGTCATGATGTCCTTCAGCTATGTGAGGTGAAGTAAAGGAAAAAATTCCAAATATTAACCCTTTGAATTATGAAGTCCTCCTGAAATTTTAGCTAAACTATTTTGGGTTGAATATAGACAATTCTAAGGGTAGAAAACCTGACAATTCTCAATAACACGTTTCTTTTAAAAATAAAAGAAAAAACTCATCGATTTAAAAATTAATTTTTGGACATGAGTTATAAAGTGGAATGGGCTGTAATTCTCTAAAACAATTACATTAGTGCTTAAGATACAGCTGCTAAATTTCAGTACTTAACCTGCAAAAACCACGTGCACACTACTGTAAACAGGACAAACGGACAAGAGCAAGGAACCTCAGACCACTCCCGCCCGGGGGAATTAAGGTTGCCTTTTAGAACGACATGTAAAACCCGTCCTAAATCTGTCTTCTAGGTCATTGACCACATAAGCCTCAGCAAAGCAAGCACCAAGAAAAGAGGGTGGGGTGGGGAAGGAGGGTATATCCCATGCAATCTGGAGCTTTTTCAAAGTCATGACCCCTCTTTCATTGTAACAAAGTAAATTAAACTAGTAAGTTTTAGGTCACTGAGTATTAGTAACCAGAAGAATTAAAACTTATGCTCTGAGTTCTGCTGAATGAACTGGGCAAAGGTGTGTGGGTGGAAAAGAACAAGGCACATCTGTAGAAAAAATGATTTTTTTTTTTTAAACTGGAAAATTGGGTTTATTCAAGAGAACAGTGGGGCTTAGCTGGAAATAATAATTTAGAACAAGAGATTGAATACCAGGTTAAGAACTTTGAAATTTCTCTTCTAGACAAGAAGATGCTAAAGGTTTTTCATTTCAAGAAAGTTTACATTTAATAACTGTCACTGACTTTTAAAATGAGCATTTTAACTCTAATATACAAGGGTGCAAATTGATTGAGTGGGAAATCATGTATTGTTTCCTAGCACCAGGATATTCTAAAATATTCTTTTGATGTCCCTAAATCTGAGTATTTAGGGTGCTGTTGAAGATACTGAGATGCTATAAAATATTTAATTTACAATGAATTTATTCACTATTTGAATACTGATTCTGAATACCTACAATTATCTATGTAAGTTTCCTTCATGATTAACCAGCTTAACTTACTTGCCCCTTCTTTTCCCATTCTGCCAGTCTTCTATTTTTCTGCAAGACTGTAAATAACTCCAATCTATTGCAAAGGATACGGTGTTCAGCCATTTTTGCCATGAGATCATCATTGTCGAAAAGCAATAAACAGATAACAGCAATAATGAAGAAAGCAGCCCCTCTTGTCTGAAAATAAAGAAAATAATACTAAGGATGGCTTTTTCAAGTGTTGATTATTATCACTATGACTACACAAACGCTGAAGAAATTTTTTTTTTCAAATAAACATTTAAAGAAAAAATAACATCTGAGATTAGGGCCCTTATATATTATTGTATAAATTTACAGTATAAACAGTAACATATAAAAGCAAAGAGCTTCAATAAATTCTGCAGGAATATGAAGGACATTTAAGACACATAATATTGTGACTTCAATCATCTCCTTGCTAATATGGCTAGGCATGTTATTATGCACAAACTGTTACTGTTTATAGAATTAACCTTTCTACATGCTACTTTACTTCTAGTTGAAAAGCTCAAGTAGCTAAAGAATAATTAGTGGGAACTTTTTTATTCTGCAACATGAGAGGGATAGAGACTTAATTTACAATAATATGAATAATCAAAGTATTCATAATGTAATACTCTTGACAGTTCAAAGCTACAAATACCCTCCTTTAGGGAAAAAGAATAAAGAGGGCACGTTACTAAAATTAGCAAAGTGATTTCTAAACTAGTAAAGATATAAAGCATTTAAAAACTGATAAACTTTTTAAGCTTATGTTTTCATTCCAGTGAAAGAATTTTGACAAAAGATTTTGTCTTTTTTGACAAGGAATCTTGGTGGCACAGTGGTTAGGAGTTCAGCTGCTAACCAAAAGGTTGGCAGTTTGAATCCACCAGCAGCTCCTTGGAATTCCTATGGGGGCAGTTCTACTCTGCCTATAGGATCGCTATGAGTTGGAATCGACTCGACGGCAACTGGTTTCGTTTTGTTTTTTGACAAATTATAGAAAGGACAAACTAGTAGTTTGTGCAGATGATTCAGAATGTTAGATGTAAAAGTAATCTAAATAACATTACTATACATTCTGTATTTATAAAATATACAGGTATGATATATACGAGTGTTTGTAAAACTGGTGAAACCTGAACAAGGCTTATGGATTGTGCTAGTGTCAATGTCCTGGTTTTGATATTGTACTTGAGTTGGTTAAAATGTTACCACTGGGGGAAACTGAGCCCATGAAACCTCTCTACTCTATTTTTGAACTTCTCTGTACTATTTTTGCAACTTTCTAGTAATCTATAATCATTTAAAAAGAAAATAAAATTAAAATTAGCATTAAAAATCCCTGTGTTCTTTTAAGTGCTAAAAGAAAATGTTTTATTGCTTTGAGTAACATTTTATATGTATACTTTCAATTTTAAAGTAACTGATAATGGAAAATTATACCTTTGCTGGTCCTCCTCCAGAACTAGTGAACAAAACACTGAGCAGTGAAATAACAACAATATCACTGTGTTCGAATAACAGCAAAGTCCTACAAAAATAAAACATGCATCATTCACGAAATATATCTGATCTTTATCAGGAAATGAGCATTCAACTAGAGTAAGAGAAAATAAATATTCCTCCTTGATTTCATGAAACATTACGAGAAAAATAAATCGATACAATTGCTTTGGAAGATATTTTTGCATCACCTACCTTAGAAAGGTTGAAGCTATAAATATCCAATACCACTCCTAGAATTATATCATACAGAATCCTTGTATACATGTACAAGGAAACGCTTATAAGATTGTTTACAGCAGCACTGTTTGTAGTAGCCCCAAAATGGAAACACAACCTAAATGTCCACTGATTAAAAAAAAAAAAAAAACCTGTTGCTGTTGAGTCAATTCCAACTCACAGCGACCTTATAGGACAGAGTAGAACCGCCCCATAGAGTTTCCAAGGAGCACCTGGTGGATTCAAACTGCCGACCCTTTGGTTAGCAGCCGCAGCTCTCAACCACTACGCCACCAGGGTTTCCGTCCACTGACAGGACAATGGAGAACAGACTGGAGTATATTCATTCACTGGAATACTATACAGCAGCTAAAAAATGAGTGAACCTCTTATGAACATATGAAAAAACCACTGAATTGAACACTTTAAAAGGTTAACTTTTATGGCATGTAAATTATATTAAAAAATTGTTATAAAAATGAATGAACTATAGATACATGCATCAAAATGGACAAATCTCAAACACTGAACGGAAAAAGCATGTTACAGAAAAATACAAGCAATGTAATTCCATTTATATAAAGTAAAACACTTGCAAAATTAAACATAAAAAAAAATGTGGTAAAACTACAAGGAAAACCAAGAGAATTAAAAATAAAACTTAAGATGCTGGTTACATCCAAAGGTGGGAAGAGAGGAAGAGTCAATTAGGAGGGACACACAGGGCTTCAAATGTATTGGTACCATTTCATTTTGAGAGTTGGGTGCTGGATACACAGATGTTTATATTATTACTCTTTAAACATACCTATATTTCTATTTAATGTGCCCTGGTGGCACAATGGTTAAATGCTGGTGTGCTAACCTAAAGGTTGGCAGTTCGAATCCGCTCAGCCACTCGATGGGAGAAAAGACCTGGCAATCTCCTCCTGTAAAGATTACAGCCTATGAAAAATCCATGGGGCAGCTGTACTCTGTCCTATATAGGGTCATTATGAGTTGGAATTGACTCGACAGCACACAAAAATAACAATATCTATGTTTACTCTTTTACATGTATGAAATATTTCTTTAAAAGAATTAAAAGCAATTCCACTCCTAGGTATATACTCAAAAGACTTAAAAACAGGGACTCAAACAGATACTTGTATACCAATGTTCACAACAGCATTATTCACAATAGCCAAAAGCTTGAAATAAGCCAAGTGTCTGTCCATCAACAGACAAACGGATAAACTCAATGCTCTTGGCTGCTAACCACAGATTGGCGGTTTGAACCCAACAAGCGGTTCCACAGGAGAAAGACCTGGTAATCTGTTTCCATAAAGATGACAGCAAAGAAAACCCTATGGGGCAGTTCTACTCTCTCACATGGGGTAGCTACGAGTCGGAATCAACTCGAAAGCACCCAACAACAATAGAGGCTAGGAAAAGGGGGAAAATGGGGAGTTAATGATTAATGGGTACAGTTTGGGGTGATTAAAAAAATTGGAAATAGACAGTAGTGATGCTTGTACAACATTATGAATGTAATCAATGCCACTGAACTGTACACTGAAAAATGGTTAAAATGGTCAATTTTATGTTATATATATCTTACTATAAAAAAGGGTAAAAACAAAATTATCACCAGCCAAAAGGGGGCTTACAGATCTAATTAGTAAATAGATTTTCAACTGCTCATTAAATAATTTCTTTTTTCTTCTTTCGTAAAAAAAATCTGTAATGATAGAATGCCAAATGGTATAGGCCCCTGTGGAAAACGGTTTGGTGGTTCCTCAAAAAGTTAAACCTAGAACTACCATATGACCCAGCAATCCACTTCTAGGTATATACCCACGAGACCTGAAAGCAGCAATGTTCACAGCGGCACTATTCACAATAGTCAAAAGGCAGAAACAACCTAGGTGTCCATCAACAGGTGAATGGACAGACAAATGTGGTGCATACATACAAAGGAATACCACTCAGCTATAAAGAGAAATGAAGTCCTAATGTATCCTACAACATGGATGAACCTCAAAAACCTTATGCTCAGTGAAATAAATCATTTGCAAAAGCACAAATATTGTTAAGATCTCACTTACAGGAAACAACACTAACAGGCAAATGTATAGAGATCAAAGTTTATTAGTGGTTACCAGGGGTGTAAATGAGGGGGAAAAGGGGAGTGTTTGTTCAGTGAATGTTTGTTTATGTGATGGGAAATTTGGCAACAATTAGGGGGGTGGTTACACATGATTAATGTAATTTATATCCCTAAATTGTATACTTGAAAAATGTTGAATTGGCAAATGTTGGGTTGTATATATTTTTACAACAATTAAAAATATCTGTAATGAGTACACATTAGCAATAACTTTAGTTCTATTAAAATTTAGAAGATGATACTTTCAGAAAAGCAATGTGTCAACAGTGTAAGACTAATATAAAATAACACAGACTATGAAGCACCAAAAGAATCCTTCTCCTCAAGAAATCACGGGATGGCTTTAGTAAATGAATGAGAGGGGCAGTGCTGGTAGAGCTGCTGGTACTGGGGAGGGGTTATAAGGGCAGGAAGTAAGGTAGACGACAGCAACATACTTTATTCTCAACATACTTTTTTCTTATACTAAGAATTTCCCCCTTTCCTCCCTACTCTAACATGTAGGGGCAAGTGATTTAGAAACATATGGACCAAAATATAATTTCATGAACAAGAAATTTAAAATATCAGGGATGACAAGCAATATTACTGCATTCAATCACACTCAGGCATAAACTGAAAAGGCTCTCCCCAAGCTCACCCCTCCAGGATGCTGCTGTGTCAGGGTGGGGGTATAGCATTTGGAATAATGCATATTCTGCTCTGCATCTGACAAACAAGCCAAAGAGACCCAAACCCAGAAGCTATTCTATTGGCTGGGAGAAGGGGAAGAATTTTTCCCAAACCGTTTCCCACCTATCACTCTCCATTCTGCCCACCCCCCATTCCAAGTGAGATCCTTTCAAACATCCTTCCTTCGTCTGTCATCCTCATACTTCCCCTTCAGCAACAGCAATATACTTTATTCTCAACATATTTTTTTCTTATACTATTACTCAATAAGTCATACACTGTAGGAACAGTGAAATATCTTTGAAGCACCTTCTGGGGTACCAGGGTACTTGCAGAGTTGTGCAAAAAGATGAGCACTTTTAAAGATTTTGCCCTTCTTATTGGTTGTTTATCACTTTAGACCTTTTACCTTCTAAACTAGCTACTAAACAGATCACCAAACAATGATAAAAAAACCACTTATGCTAAATATTTTCTGGAACTCTCTGGACTCTACTAGTGAAATATCTGTGACAGATCATGAACAATAAATTAATGGTATTAGCCAAAAAAGTAATCCATAAACTAAATAGGTTCTTTCTCTCTCTCTATATATATGTTTGTTGAATTGCATCCAATGTTACAGGAGTGATAGAAGCATTTGCATAAAAATAGAGTGAAATAAATTTAATATTCAAAATAAAAAATATAACATTTAAAATATGCATTTTATTTACCTTAGTGGTCCACAAAGAGTAAGGCCAAAAAACCACAAAAGTGAAATAATACACCCAGCAACTGCATGTTTAAATATCTTGATCCACTATAAATGGAAACAAAAAATTAAAAATTTCAGAGATATATATATTGAAATAGCTCAAAACCTTAAACGAAACACACAAGATAATAATGGTAACAAGCATTTTAAAGGCTAAATAATTACCTATTTTGAAATTAAATAGAAAATATGAAGATCCCTTGACTAACTCTGGATTTGCAACACAGTATTGTTATTTTCCATACATACATTCTTCTCTTTTAAATTCTGAAATCTTTTTTTTTAAGTTTTTTATTGATGTAATTAAATGAAGTTTACATTTCAAGTTAGTCTCCCCTACGGAATTTTTTTTTTAACATACATTGTTATGAGACCCCAACCGCTCACCCCATTCTGCGACAGCACACTCCTCCCCTC